TGTCAACACTGTTCTGTGATTTCTCAATAAAATAGCTTAGAAACTGAAAAGTTCAAGCATATATTTCTTAACTAAATCCCACAGCTTCACTACTAGTAGAGAGACGCTGCCAGGAATAATTAATTCACACGCAATCGCTCTCACTAATGCATTCATATGAATGTAATCTTTACTGTGCTACTTTATCTGGATCTGATTTAGAACGAGTAGAAATCTGTGAGAAATATAACGACCTAAAGACAAAAGAACTGATAAAAATGAGCTGTCATAGGAGCAACAGCCGTGTGGGCAGTGCTGTGTCATATGCCATAGCTGTGCTCCAGACGTATTTGTTAATTAATGACGTCATCAGCGACTAGTCGACTTCGACTCGACTTTCATGTGGCCCTTTCATCACATAAGAGTCGACTTCAAAAAATCAGAGGTCGTTCAACCCCAAATAAATAAATAAATAAATAAATACATAAATACATACATACATAAATAAATATATATATATATATATAAAAAATGCATATTAAGGATGCATTCATATATAATAAATAGGGTTAGGTACCTAAACCCGGTACCTATGTAACCAGTATGTATTAGAACTGAATCAGAACGCAGATTTCGGTGCCACTGAGCAATGCCTGAAAATGCCTGAGCGATCGATTGAAATATTTGTTCTCTGGTTCTCTTTGATCACCGGCACCGCATAGGGCTGTGCAATTAATCACATGTGATTGTCCTGCGCATCTCGTCAGTAAAGCCGGTTCTGTGATTAGTAGTAAATCTCCATCACCTGCTTTCAGATGGAGCGGCATGCACTACAGAGCCGTAGATCACTGACGAGCTAGGCGATATCGCGTTCATAATCGAATGCGATTCATCTGTGATTATGAATGTGATATCGCCTAGCTTGTCAGTGATCTACGGCTCTGTAGTGCATGCCGCTCCATCTGAAAGCAGGTGATGAAGATTTACTACTAATCACAGAACCGGCTTTACTGACGAGATGCACATGACAATCACATGCGATTAATTGCACAGCCCTAGCACCGCATGTGAAAAATAATTTCCCGACTGAGAAAATGCACGTGAACTCAAGTGGGAAAGCTCTAATAATACAAATCCAACATCTTTGTAGTAACGCGAGTGTCCATGTTGTTTCCACGTTCCGACTTAAAAGCACAACTTGGGAAATGAGAGCAGAGGAGCGCGTGAATGCAGCAACTACACTTGCTCTGATGGCAGCAGGCAGATACCGTTAGCTAGCTCAGCTAAACACGCTCAAATTAAAATGCCTAAAGCTAAACTTCCCTTTTAATGACTTGCAAATGAGAAGCGTTTCTAAACCTGTTGTCCAACAAAAGAGAACACTGTAACGTTTTTACTCCACAGCTGCTTCCTTTTGTGATCTGATGTGGCTTCTCGTCACAGAATGAGGCAGAAAAGAGTTATATACTGTAAAACGCTTATGGTAAAAAGGCTAAGTCGGATTATAAATATACTTGATGAAAATACCAAAGATGGCTTGAATAACACGGATAACCTATACATTGTCGCGGTCGAGTGTTTATGGTCTTTGTTTTATCATTCAGAACGTTTATATCTTCCGTTTACTCAGTTACAGGATAGCAATGCCTGTCCATATTAGGGATTTCCTGAGTTCTGTTACTTCTGTGATGCACATGTGGGGTTTCTGCGCGAGGGCGCCCTCTGGCGTCCAGTATGAATGAAACAGACATTAAATGTGTTTATAGCGCTTAATAATAACCATCCTATTTTGGTTAATATTTTTGGGGGGGGGGAATTATTATTATTATTTTTTTTTAAGTATGGGTTCAGGCAGCGGTACCATTTTGAAAGTATCGATTTGGCACTGGTATCGTAAAAAACCCAAAAGATACCCAACCCTAATAATAAAACCAGTTACACCAGTATTAGTTCTGGTCGGCCACTAGGTGGTGCTATGGGTAATTTTCACTGTGCCAATACAATAATGTAAGGCAGTTTGATTCTAAATTTCCAATTATTTAAAAAAAAATAAAAACCTTAAAATAAAACTGAAAAATAAAGGATTTTAAATGAGCAACTTACCCAAAAGATTAATTCAACTAAATATGAAGGACACACGTGCAGTGGGTGTCAGCACAGAGTGCCTGTGTGGATTGTTTGTATAATTACAATAAATAATTAAAATAGAAACTAAAGATTCTGAAAATCAGTTTTTCATAAAAAAAGTCTTTATTATAAAAAATAATTTTTACACTAAAAAGAATTATACTGATCCTGAAAATCATTTTTTTCAAAAAATTATTATTATAATGTCAGTCGATGCTTCCAGCAACTGTTTGGTTATCAACATTCTTCCAAATATTTCTGTGTTCAGTAGAAGAAAGAAACGACTTTTGTTGTCATTAAGTAAACTTCAAAGCCTTAGTTTGTTCATAATAAGAGATTACTTTTATTTGTGTTACTTGTTTGATTTGGGGTTTGTTTTAAAATTTCAATTTAGTTTTGTTATATTACAATTTCACAAAGAAACGTGCCGCGACAGCCTAATACAACGGCACCTTTTCATTTACTGTATAATGTCTTCAATCTCATTTTGTTAAAAAAAATCTAATGGTGAGTTGAGTGAATCGTTACATCCCTTTTTAAGTACCCGCGGACACCCAGAGTTCAAAATATCGAGTAATGTTTTTATGAAATGTAGTGGAGTAAAGATTATGATATATCACATTAAAATTAGGTCTGGGCAATAAAACGATAACTATCAAGATTTAATTTCTCAATAAAACGATAACTATCGAGATTTAATTTCTCAATAAAACGATAACTATCGAGATTTAATTTCTCAATAAAACGATAACAAGATTTCAATAAATGTTCGATATAAAGTTTGTGTGCCAAAAGCAGAACGACTCGCTGATTTAAACGAGTTTAGAGCCTGATGAAACCGCGCTGACAAACAGCAGAAGCACTGCGCACCGAGACGGTCAGGACGCTTTTCAATCCACAAATCACCATCATTTACCAGGGATTTACTCCGGTAACACCAACTGCACCGTGTGGGATGTTCAGATCGAGTTTTATTATATTATTAATGCAAACCCGTTTCATGATGTGAAAAACTATTAATGCAGAAACTAAGAAATACATTTTTCTATTAAGATATTCATTTTGTTAAGTACAGTAACAAAGTAAAAATACTTTGGTAGTGTACACCGCTCTCTAAGGATTTATTTTTGGTGTTTGATGCCTTTTATTTAGATAGGACAGCAGGTCGACGGGAAGTGAAGTGGGTGAGAGAGAGAGGGGTGGGATCGGGAAACGTCCACGAGCCGGGACTCGAACTCGGGACGCCTGAAGCAAAGGCGCTACATGTCGCCAACGTACACCGCTCTTTAAAAACCCACCTTTCCGATGATGCTGCCCACTTCTTTGCCATGCATGAGCAGTCGGATGGTGAGCGTGACGTTGAGTCCTCCTTCAATCACACCTGAGTCCATGATGATCAATGAGTCGAGCTCTGGATCTTTGGTCACGGATGATCAACCTGTCAACCACACACACACACAGACAGACACACACTCACACAGACAGACACACACAGACAGACACACACAGACAGACAGACAGACACACACAGACAGACACACACACACACAGACAGACACACACAGACAGACACACACACACACAGACAGACACACACTCACACAGACAGACACACACTCACACAGACAGACACACACACACACACAGACAGACACACACACACACAGACAGACACACACACACAGACAGACACACACTCACACAGAGACAGACAGACACACACTCACACAGAGACAGACACACACACAGACACACACACACTCACAGAGACAGACACACACACAGACAGACACACACACACACAGAGACACACACACACACACACAGAGACACACACACACACACACAGAGACACACACACACACACACAGAGACACACACACACACACACAGAGACACACACACACACACACAGAGACACACACACACACACACAGAGACACACACACACACACACAGAGACACACACACACACACACAGAGACACACACACACACACACAGAGACACACACACACACACACAGAGACACACACACACACACACAGAGACACACACACACACACACAGAGACACACACACACACACACAGAGACACACACACACACACACAGAGACACACACACACACACACAGAGACACACACACACACACACACAGCTTTACTACAGCAGTCAGGCTGCACTGCACATCACGGTGAAACACGGTAGATGTAGGAGCTGAAGTAACCTGATGAAACACACGCACTGGCCGACGGAAGTGAAGCACGCTGTTTAGCACAGTTTCTTCAGCAGCTTATCCCGAGAAACACCAATCCGGGTTACTATAAATACTCACTTTCACCAACTGGCCATTCGTATAAATGTGAAGCTAATTCCTGGTACTCAAACGACTTTAGTATTAAACCGGCGGATTCTCTTTGTAAATACGCCATTTCACTGCTCGGTGGCGCAGCTTTAGCGCGTGTGCTTGCTAGCTGCGTAGCGACGGCCGACGGCTCTTCAGACGAAACGAGCCGCTTTCTGCTCAACTCACGGCGCGTGTTTGACGACTCAACGGCGCACTGCTGCTCTTAAGACAGAAACACCGACTAAGCTCGCAGGAGAGCAGCGGACGCTGGTTAGCACGAGTGCTAGCGCTAGCGCTCTCCCGCGGCCTGCAGGCCCCTCGCGCTCCTGCACGCAGTAAACGCGGCAAAGTCTCACCTGCCGCGCGCTCCGGGGAGGGGAGAGGGTCCGAGGGTCCGAGGGTGAGAGGGGGAGGTCCGGGAGGGAGTTTTGAGAGGATTCGGGGAAGAGGGAAGACACGGCTGCGTGATCGAGCTCCACTCTTACAAAGACAACAAGATGTGTCCCGATCACCTCTCACCCACGACCTCTCTGACGTCACCGCGCTCTGGCCCCGCCCCGCGCTCTGGCCCCGCCCCCGGGCTCTGCGTGAGGACGCACAGCAAAAGAAAAGGCATGTCCTAGTTCACTGCTCAAAATATATTTGCAATCTAATTCTTATTATTGCCTATAAAGTAGAGAAAACGGGGACAATACATTTTTGTAAGTTATATGATTATTATATTTATTAATGTTTTTTTTGTTGTTGGTATTTTCTAACTGGCTTTAATACAATTCACCATAAAACACTCTATGAAAAATAATAAACAGTAACCATATCAAAATCATGATATGATAAATTAAACTGTATTTAACAAATCAGTCATTCTTGAGACGTGGCACAAAACAGGTCCAGCAAGGGTAACTGCTATTAGCTTTAAAAATACAAATATTTTCATCTTCCAATTTCTGAGGAAATTATTGGAAATATTTAGATAATTTTTATTCTCCTTGTTCCATTAGCATCTGGCATCAACAGAAACAAATAAAATGGCTACTACATGAACTCCACTGGTTTTGTGAAAGAAATGCCAAATTTGTCAACACCGTCAGATGTCACCACCATAAGATTTTGTGTTCCAGTGATAGATCAAAATATTTAAATGTGACTCATGAATAAAAGCTTTATAAACAATAACATACTCACTGATTGTTTTAATACAGTAATTGACTGATTCAGTGTATTTGATAGTTAAAATGACTACAAATTCAGGTTTTCGTCACCACCGTCAGTTCTGTCACCTCCGTCAGTTGAATATTTTGATAATATTTCATTATGATATTTTATATTTGTTGTGGAATTGTTGGTCACATGTGAAAGTGTAATCTGTCTGTTAACACCAGAATGTGTTTAGAAATGTTAAAAATATCTTGAATGCTGTTAAAAATAAAGCTGAAATTATATTACAAAGTCCAAGCTAAAAAAGCACATTTAGTTAAAAAAGAGAAAAGTTGGGAGGTTGTATCAAAGCATGTAGTTTCATTTGTCTGAGTACAAGGTTTTATTTTTTCAGTTTTGCACCGTTTTGTCCCACTTCTCAAGAATGACTGAAATATGTTTTCTAATTGACTTTAATATATTCATTTTCAAACTCGAAAGTCCTACTGTATACAACAGTCACAGCGTTTTACTAGTTAATATGTGATTACCTTGTAACTGACAACGTTTGTTCTATTGATGATCGACTGCTAGACGTAGATTTGATCGCGTCATCTACTAACAGAAGTCTGTTCCAGTGGAATAAGTATTGCACTTCAGCAGCAGCTAAACTATGGCAGAGGAGAGAGGGTTGTGGACCACTGCATCAGGAGCGTGACTGTTGTTAAGGATGAGTGTTTATCTGAGTCTGGACTAGACTGATCTACAGTTTTACTGTAGGCAAGATCTAAAACCTGGGGCCGCATTCACGAAACATTCTTCAGAAAAATCAATCTTCTTAACTGACGTTTTCTTCTTCTTTTATTCGTATCCCCAAAAATTCCTCTTATCTTTTTTCTCAAGATTGTTCTTAAGACAAAACTGGAGAAGAGTTCAAATTCTTGAAAAGAATCTTCTTAAAAATCGCCGTAAATAACTTTGAGTTAGGATAACCTCAGACTTGTCTTAAATCCCAAATAGTAAATGATTTAATGAATTTATTGGGTTATCTGAAATTAATTGTTTTTAAGCATTACAGCAACACTAGCTACATATAACACACAGTAGGACTGTTTACAGGGATGTGCACGAGATTTCTGAAGTGATAACGGGGGTGGCTAAAGGGGCTGAAGCCCCCAATGTTTTTATTACCATGTCTTGTATTAAACCAGCACTTAAAAAGCAAAATGCTGCTGCTTCAGGTATCTGTAACTTGCTGTATAACTTCATAATACCAATCTCACTATCTGTCAAAATTAGATTATTGTTAGCAACAAACACAGATTTGTAATCAAGGTATTATATGTACAGACTTTCTAGGACACACACATTTAGAGTGATTATATGAACAGATTGGTTAGTAATAGCATGATCTGTGGCAGACTTTTCTAAGTGTCGGGGCAACAATTCAATAAACAATACGTTCAAATTAAATGATTTAAATCATAGAGAAAATATAGTCTTTTTGCTCTATTTCGCCGAAAATAGTTCTAAACAAAGTCATGTTTTTCGTCTCTGCACACAGCGGTGTTTCGTTACTGAATGAATTTGCATTTTTGAATCAATTATTCACTGACCCATTCAATTCAATTCAATTCAATTCAAGTTTATTTGTATAGCGCTTTTCACAATACACATTGTTTCAAAGCAGCTTTACAGAAAACGCATGTGTCTACATTACAAAGCAGAAGTGAATGTGTCCAAGTAATGTTTATTTCACAAATGAACAGTTCAAGATAATAGACTCATACAGTTAGCTAGCATGAAGTAATTTCAGACAGGTGTGATCATAATGCATTTTGTCAGCTGTGCATGTGGATTCAAGCTGGGGTCATCTGGGGTCCTCACAGGGGGTCAGCATCATCTCGTCACAGGTGTTGGGTCGTCTGAAGTCTTTCTCTGAGGCTGGATCCACGCTGGAGCAGGTGTGATCTCTAGAGACCTCGAGATGGGCATCGCTGTAGGAACAGAAAGGTGTAGCATAGATTCTGTTCATAGCGTGTCAAGCAAAAACTATGTGTGTGACTTTTATCTGATCTAACTGGGAACAAGGGTGAGATTGAGATTCATGATGCGAATGCTTGGCTGAAGAGATGTGTCTTTAATCTAGATTTAAACAGAGAAAGTGTGTTTGAACCCCGGACATTATCAGGAATACTATTCCAGAGTTTAGGAGCCAGATGAGAAAATGATCTCCCTGCTTTAGTGGACTTAGATATCCTAGATACTACTAAAAGTCCAGAGTTTCTTAAAGAGCGTGATGGATTATAGGGCATAAGAAGATCAGTTAAACAGTAATGCCTGTCCCTGAATACCAGTGTATTTTTGTAGTCGGCCTAAGAGTACATCATGGTCTATAGCAGGGGTACTCAAGTTCAGAGGCCAAGGGGGCCACATTTATACCACCGAAAAGCCACAAATTGCAATTTGCATCGTAAGACTTTAAGACAATTTTTGCAGTTTTACTGATTTAGAAGTGCTGTTATTACTTATCTAACTCTTGCTTGTCCTTGTTCTATTAAAAAAATAACACTGAACATGAAAATAATGATAATAATAAAAAAAATCTGTAACAAAATAGTGGATTAATCATTTGAAAAAATGCATTCATACTCACTCTATTAAACAAAGTCAATGTTCAAACTCAAAACATACTTGAGCAAGTATAGTTCACAAGCCTTAATGAAAAGAAGTCACATTTATACCACATAAAATACGAAAAGCCACAAATTGCAATTTGCATCGTAAGACTTTAAGACAATTTTTGCAGTTTTACTGATTTAGAAGTGCTGTTATTACTTATCTAACTCTTGCTTGTCCTTGTTCTATTAAAAAAATAACACTGAACATGAAAATAATGATAATAATAAAAAAAATCTGTAACAAAATAGTGGATTAATCATTTGAAAAAATGCATTCATACTCACTCTATTAAACAAAGTCAATGTTCAAACTCAAAACATACTTGAGCAAGTATAGTTCACAAGCCTTAATGAAAAGAAGACTGCTCAAAAAACTTGTTTGAATCGTCAGTGGCAAATTCTTTATATATGAAAACGTACTTACAGTCTGTGAGTCAGAATAGCCGGCATTGTAGTCTACTCTCCCAGGATCAGGAAACAGTCCTCCATAAAATGTGCTGCACACATCTGGATATTTGGGTTGAAGTGTTCTGGAACAGTGTTGTAAATACAACTTAACCACTGATTTCTAGTCGTGTCCTCTTTTGGAAGACCAAACAAAGTAGTTTCGCTTTCACAACGAAGCACACAGCGTCTCCACGACATGGCGGCGGCAACAACAATACTACAGCGAGAATCAAAGTTACGCCTTCTTTCTTTGCGTGAACATTTGGGCGGCGTTATGCAAATCTTCCCACATCGTGACGTAGACGTGGGGCGTGTTTAAACGAGGCGTTTTAGGGGGGTGTGGTCGAGTCGTAACTTTGATAAAGAATATCTCTTTGGTTTTGAGACTTTAGTCTTTGCAACGTACAGCTTGTAACACTCCAAAGAGAAAAGACAACTTGTTTGGTATGTTAATCTGATGTGGATCTACTCTGATTGGATGATTGTTACTTTTAGATAGTTAACTATTAGTGTGATGAATTGAGTTAAGCTTTTAAAGCATTAAAGAGCAGGTCATATGGTATTTTAAAGTATCTTAATATTGTGTTGGAGTCCCCTACAACAGGTTTAAATGCATCTAAGGTCAGAAAACATTGTGATTTTCTCAGAATGTACATTTAATATTAGAGTAATTTGCCAATTATTTCGAAACGGTTCGTTCCAAGCAAGTTCGGAGCAAACCCCTCCCTTCCATAAGCCTGCTCTGCTCTGATTGGTCAGCTGGCCAAGCCTGTTGTGATTGGCACAAAGAGGAGCGCTTGAGCAAGTTAGCAGTGCTACCATTGACAAAGCACCTTTGCATAAAACATAGTACTCCAATCCGTTCTTATAACAATTACATAAAATACATAAGTGTTTTTGTAAGCGAATCGTGCCCACAGCTAAAGTTTAGCTGCTAAACTGTGAACACTTAAAACAATAATAGTGGATACGTTAGCCGAGTGCTATTGTGACTAACTGATTAGGATGACCATATGTCCCATTTTCCCAGGACGGGTCCTGGCCAGGATTTCTATATTGCCTAAAATATCTAGGTTTTGGCTTTGTTTGCGTGTGCAGACCGATCAGTGTATGACATCAAAATACCTCAAGAGCATTTTGAAAGCATAAGGAACTGTCTGTATGATATTTTGATGTCATACACACCGATCGGTCTGCACACGCAAACAAAGCCAAAACCTAGATATTTTAGGCAATATAGAAATCCTGGCCAGGACCCGTCCCGGGAAAATGGCACGTATGGTCACC